TAATCTTAAGGCGATAAGGTCTATAGTTTATAAGGCGATACGAATTCGATACGATACAAAACGAATGCTCAGATAGCTGTTGAAAAGTTAGACTAACTGCACATGAAGCCTGATTCGGTTTAATACCTATTGCGACAGTGATCTGACCATTACAGACTAGAATTTCTTTCAGAATTTTCAGTAATGACTCGTATTTTCTAGTTTCGAAACCACATATTTGGCGATGAAGTTCCATTGTCGAAAAGCCCCTGTTTTCTGTAAGCTTTTTGTTATCATGTATCATAAAGACTTACACTTTTTTTTTCTTGGACATTTACTCTCCTGTTTAACTAAAAAATTCTAAATTCCTGCTGGAATACTTATGTTCTCAAATAAGCAAAATATCCAGCACAAAATACCTCGGAATACTGTTGGATTAGCGTTTATCCCGGCATCCCATTATGTTACATCATGGCACCAACCTATCATGGTACATATTTAATAAGAAGGATTAGAAAATTCATATGGATTTTTAAAATTTTAAGACATCTCACAACAACACACATTAAAAAAGTATATATGTCTCTTTAGTTCAATTAGTTTTTTTATTTATTTAATTATGGTCATGGTAGCATTCGCCTATTTAACAGGTAGCAATGGTCTAGTGGCCTGAAGCTCGTAAGCGCGAATGCTAGTCATGATCATGGTCGCGGGTTCGAATTCCGAGTCGGACCAAAAGCAGTTTTTGAGTTATTCAGTAAGGAACGATAATTAAACTCCGTGCCTTGGAAAGTACCGTAACCGTAAAATCGTTCGTTAAAATTAAAACCTGATCTCTCTTTGATAGTGTATTACCGTCCTTTCAGATTATGAGAGTGCGGGAACAGAGAGTGCACCTTTGCACATTATTCGCCACACACTCGTGCATTATATCCTGTCCTGCGCAGGTGGGTAATCACCGTTAAGAATGACCACTGTGACAAATATTCGGTCTGGAGAGCATTATCTAATTAGTAGACACCGAAAGCTTGAACTACGCCTAGACAAATGTGAGTTAAGATAGACATTTGGTCTGGTATTTTTCGCGTGACTTTACTACCTGACGGCACTACGCACTTAGCCACAAGCGGAGCGGGCGGCGGGACAAGTACACATGGTAACATTACGGTGTGATATTTTCTAACACAAAAATAATTAAATCACTAAATCATAGATATTTTGTTAAATCGTGATAATGTGATTAGAATGTACAAAATTTATAAAACGCCGTCACCTTACAGTTATACAGACTTTGTGGTGAAAAATTATTTTCAATCAAATTTTCAATTTAAGAACTCAGAACACCATCCCTCAAAAGAAAGATAGACGGAGCGCTGCGTTACCTATATTTAAAGTGCTGCCGAAAGCAATCTCGTTGTACGACAACGTGTTCAAAGAATAGGTTGAACGTACTAGTACACAGGAACTTCATTTTTCAATCCTGTTCTAAAATGTGCCGTGATTACGATGAGATTGATCGTGGTGACGTTCATCTAGACTTATTCTTTAGTAGCCTTGTTAGATTTAAAATAAATTTACGTGTTCCTGTAAATATTTATTGTATTTTTTATATCTTGTTTACTTTTTACCAGGGCAAATCGCTACTGCAGTTTAACAGCCTTACTAAAAAGATTTACACATGACTTATACCAGTTAAAACGCTAACATTATAATTATTAACGACATTTGACATTTCAGTTGTATACATCTGTTATAACGGGTGTTTAAATTGTATGGAAAATTACGCAACCGTTATACACTTTTCATTTTGAAGCTGTAAATGTTTATACAAAAAGCGATAACGTTTTTCCTCCCGTAAATATAGTCTAATTTTTACAATTTTTGGAAATGTTGTAGGTATAATGAAAAACTAGGTCCGTATGTTTTTATTTTAAGAAAATACTGCGTACGATATAAGTTATTAGCATCTAAATATCCATATTTTTGACTTAAAAACTTCCTCGAGTGTTTTATTTTTAACGAAACCAAACCGAATTACTATAAAAGAAAAAAGTATAGATCTAAATTAAGGTATACAGAATCTAGAGACCAAAATTGTCTCATTTCGTGAAGGTTAAGGTTAAGGTTAAGAGGGGTGGAAACGATATCGCTCGAAACAATATTTTAAAAAGAAATGTAGGCAATTACTTCCACGCACTTTATCGCACGACGGAAATACGGTGCGAGCGATGTGAAACAGATAGAGTTTTTGAAAATACCTACTCGCGCCACGTATCGGCACTTCACAATCCTCTTATTTGAAAGTCTTGTTTTGAAAATACCTAATGGATTACTTACAATATCTCTATATTTTCAATGAAATCAATCGTGAGGAACCACCAAGAAAAAGAAAATTTTACAAAAAAAAAGGTTTCCATCCCTTTACTCTATAAGAAAAAGCCTTTCGAATGAAATATAGATTTAGTAAAACATATATGAGAAAAATAGTTGAGTTAGTTCAACGTGATATCGAACTACAAGCTACATAGTATTAAGCCGTGTATACTATTTTAGATTGTAGTTTAAATCAAGCCATTACTATACTTTTAATTTTAGAAACGTATTATAAAACTACTCTCTGTTTCAATTAAATAAATTTATAAAAAAACACGTTTCTTCTTTCTATTTGTATTATTCGTACACATATGCATCTAAAACCATGTTGTTGGTTGCCAATGATATCGTATGCATGTAGTCAGTGGAAAGGTAAAACTTCGAAAGCGCCACTTTTTACGACAATGAGTAATAAATATACTGTACTGGATTCCTTTTCTGCGGTGATCTGTCTTGGTTTCAGGATACTCCGAACGAAACGTTGGCGCTTTAGAAGTACATAAAATGATCTTTACTTTAAAACGTAATGTTCTAAAGCGCCCGATTTGCAACAAGTATTAGAAATTGTTTGTTTAGAGGTTCTTGTTTAGGACAAAACTTTTATAAGAAATTTAAGCTTATTAAGAGATTTCCACTAACAATAATTGCTAAGTCTTTTACACATTTTGATTTCACTTTGAATTATCTACATTAGTTATTTTAAATTGCGGGCGTTTCGTTGCATAATATATAAATTTTGATTACTATATATTATACGACTTCAAGTCTTTTGCATTGTTAGAAAAAAAACCCAAATTGTTTTACTTTTTATTGGCTTTTTAGTTTATTTGTTACCTGATTCCAGGTCACAATGGAAAATAAGCAAAAAAAATTAATGAATATTGAAATAAAATTGAAAAACTGAAAGCTAAGAAAGAAGAGCCCAAACTTTTTCTTCATTCTCTCCCGACGGTAGAACCTGAAACTTTATAAATCAATGGCTTACAAGATTTTTCCATACCATATTAGTTTACTGAGTTAGATGTATGTTATGTTTGCAAGATTTTTTCCTTGGCGTATTAGATACTTCACACTTGTGTGGTTCTTGTTTACTGAATGAGACAATTTTACATGCTATTGTTACCTTTAAATTGTTGTATTTAGCAATGTACTAGCACCTTACAACATTTTACCGATGTTTAACTAAATAAAAAGTCTTTACCTTTCTTATCCGACATTTATCTCCGTTACGCAATAGCTACGAAACAAATAATCAGATTTTGTGTTTTAATTTTGTTGCAATATTTATAGTAGAAATAAAGTTATGCAGTTTTATATAGTAAAAAAACTTCAAAATGGCCTCCTGTAAAGTTTGTATAGTGGCCCTTTAGCACTAAAGTTTGCACTTTAGAACTTTTGAAGTGTGTATAAGTTAGCATGATTTTTGCTTGGTTTTCTGATCACTTGAAATGAACGCAGCGCTTTATCTTTCTTTCTTTGTTCTGGTTCTGTTGTCCGTTTGTTTCTGTCTTTGTTCGAGCTTAGGGGGTAGTTATTGCGAATAAAGGCATTTGAAAAGATGTATTTGAAATAATCGTCTAGAAATTAAAGCTCACTTTAGCAGCATTTTAAGTATTTATAACAGTTTTATATTATAGATTATTTAAAAAATTCAATACCACATACATACATACATATATAAGCACTGACGCCTGTCACTCATAGAGGTAGGCAGAGGCTACAGACTTCCGTTCGGCACGATCCTAACACACCGCTCCCGCCTCTTCCATATCCATATGCTCGTCGGTTAAGGGTACTATTAAAATTTTTACTTTTAACTTTAAATATATTTTATATAACAATTAAATATATTTAACAATTTGCCGTATAATTATTTCACAAAACTAAACATTAAAGCAGTAGCATGTACTTGACCGACTTTTATGCTTCGCTTACTTCTGTAGTCGAGCCGTATAATGATTTAGCCGTATAATGATATTGGTCGAGAGGACCAATCAAATTAGCATATGTACTGGTATCGGTGCAACATAAAAGTTGAATACTTCAAGTGTGGATTAAATCTCTTGCTACTTGAAGAAACTGAGTCTTAACCAAAAAAATAAACATGCGTGCAGTTCACACGTGATTAGCGAAACCTTCAAATGGAATGAAAACTAAAATACAAATACTTTACGGCAAATGATTTATTTATTATTATAATTTAAACTACATGTTCGGTATAAAATATAAGAAAATTTTATTTTATAGTAAATAAATGTAACAATCCTTTTAACATATATTATATTAGACACAGATATTATATTACTCTTTTCGATATACCTTATAATATAGTACTCACTAATTACAAAAAGATTTATATCAATTTCACCTATTACGAAGTTGAGGTTTAAAAATAAATGATTTTGGTTCAAAATGCGACTCTAGTCTAAGTGTAGATTAGAGTTAGGTTTTAGTAAGATTAGGTGCGTTGTGGATAAATAAATAAAAAAATATGTGTTGCTTGCAATAATATATTATAATTATCCATTATTGTTTTTAATCAGAATCATAAATTAAATCTTCTACCCCACTCAAACTTTCATCGCTCGAAGAACTTGATGTTTCCTAGTGTTATTATAAATGAATCAGTGAAATTATCCACTTTTAGTTCAAGTTGAATATATTTTTCTAAAAGTAACTTGAGGCAGCAATGCTTTAGATGCTGGTGGATCTCCTTCTCCTGAGGTAGATTGTTGTAATGTTGACGCTTTAATAGCCGCTATAACTTGATTGTGTACTTCACAAACAACTTGTCGAACACTTCTCTGAGAAACACCAGTCACCTCTGATGTCAAACTCTCCACCATCATTTTTTTATTATGATGATGCATGAAATAGTTAAAAACATTGTACACTATTTCGCGAGATTGTCCTGTTAAAGTTTTGCCGGAACCAATTCTTTCAGAAGACATTTTATTCTAAACTCCAAATATGTGAATAATCAAACGCGCCGCGCGTCGTGTAGTCAGTCAAGACTCGCCGACCGCCACGTTGTTAGATGGGGGGGGGGGGGAGGATTTAAGGCATGTAATTTTTGCGCACACTTTATACGTAATATCGAGACTGTCTACCCTGCGCCTGTGCTCTAGACAGACAAGATTGGTTTAAAAAAAATTGTAAATTAATTGGATAATACCCGCGTATTCACGGCGATATTGAAGGCAATTGAGGGAGGCAGACAGTCCTATAAGTACGACACTTCATTTTATTTTTCTTACCTATTAATTATTTTGTAATCAATCATATCATAACACCTTTAATATGATGGATTTCCGCAAAGTAAGACCTGATTTTATTAAGATTGGTTTCAACCAAATCAATGTTACCAATAATTTTACTTACATATATTTAAGACTTTTTCTTTGTATTTTTAAAAATAATATTGTATTATATCATTATGGTAAGTTTTGTTGGTGGTTTTGTTAATATATAATTAAATCGGATATGATGTATGTGTAACGATGAAATAGATTTATGTTATTTTATTATTATTAAATTATTATTTTATTTTCGATATTATTATAAATGCTTGTGCATTTGATATAATTAATATTAGTAATGATTTATAATTTTAGTATTAGAATAAATGTTAATGTACCTATGTTATTTTACCCTATGATCCTTGTTGATTGAAATAAATTAATAAATAAATAAAAATAAGCCTCTTAGCAGGTCGCTACACTGAGTCCAACGTTGCTGGGTAGCATTTTGTAGTATCAGCCTATATAAGGTAAGAAATTGATTGATTTTTATATTCAATCAGGTTATAATTTATTCGATGGATAAATTTCATGTGACAATTAAAAAATCAGAACATTAATCGTTTCCATATGATCTTCACTAGTTTTGTATAGGCTTTTTTTAACTTTTATTAAAAATATTACTACTTTGACATGAAAGAATCAGATTAACATAACGATTTATTATGTTTGTCCCTGCTCTCTATTTTGTACAAGAACAACCTGTGTCCTAAACTACGTAGTAATAATATATATTCCTTGCCTTAAACTGTGTTAGTAACATCCGTCTCTCATAATTGTATTTTTACGTCAGATTTATATTAACACAGGATTATTTTTCAAAGAAAAGCCAAATTTTAAACTTAAGTTCAAATATATAAATAATGATATAATTAGTTTTTTAAAATACGAGTAAATAAGGCTTCTACTTTTATCTGAAATTATCCCAAATTGAATGTGATTTATGGGCAACAACGTTTTTGCCTACCGATCGGCACCACACAAAATGTATGCGTGAGCGCTCTAAAATCAGTTAAAATAATGCATTACCACGCATTTTGAATATAAGAGATAAAAAAGACAGAATATATGAGATTTTTTTTAATTAATTTTTCTTGACCATTTGCCTTTATTACTTATTCTGTAACTTCTCTGCAAATCTGGTTCGTTATTGCGAAATAACCTTGTATATAATCTAACAATTACAGTACTGGCACAAGTACTCGTGCAGACGCATTAAGTATACGGCCGGTGCATCGATGTGCCGGGCCAGGGTCGACCACATTTCGCCTGACTACTTCTGACACTATCACAATACTACGCAATTTATCTCCGCGAAGGTTTTGATTATTCAAAAATTTTCGAATATTACATCCAATCGAGTAATATTTATAGACAACCAGCAAACGTGAAGTTAGATTTATACGACTGCTCTCCGAACACCTAACAAATAATGTTAGATTACAAGAAAAATAACTATTAAACAGTTATAAAATGTTTACGTTGCATATATTCAAGTTTTAGATTATTTATATAATGCTGTATCCATAAACTGTAATATCCTAGATGAATCTTACTACGAGTATATGTTGAAATAGTAAATACATTTAAAATAGAGTCAAAATCCGGGTTATGTTTTGAAAAAATTGGCTTACAATTAATATTTCACACGAAAGGAATAATCATTATCAAAAATAATCCGCAAAATTCTTTACTCCATCGAATGACACGATACCACAGTCTGCGGTCTGTCACATAGCACTAACATTGCAATATAAATCTGAAAACAAATTTGTTCTATAATTCCAGGCAGATTCTTCGAGTGAAACCCGCTGTGATGTAGATACGCAAAAGTTTTATTTTCGGTTGCAATTTTTTTTACTTATCTCTTGCACGACTACAACTCCACCTTGTCGTAAGTGGTGACGAAGCGCTGGACAGTGAAACACCGTTACAAGTGTTTTAATTTTGACACACTGATAAAAAGAGACAAATCTTACACTAGGAGAGGCGTAAATCCTCTTCACCACTTACCATCAGGCGGAGTTATAGTCAGATTAGAACAGAGGCCTATAATGACTCAAAAAGTACTATTTTTACAGGTTCACAAATATATTATCTAAATACAAATTTAATAAACCTACGATTACGGATAAAATTGAAACTTTAATGACTGTAAACTGCTCTTTCTTTTTTCAAAAACAAAAATCTTGCCAGAGTTTCTTGCTGGTTCTTCCCAGAGCAGAGGTATTTTCTGAAGCAGTGGTAAAATAAACATAGGAGTTACTTTTAATAAGCATTTATTTATAATTTCAGAATGAAAATTTTCCATTTCTAGATGATAGTATGTTATTAGACTATGCAATGTCGCAAAACAGGAACTTTATTTTTCTTTGGCGTATGCGTCATAAAGACAACGAATGAGATGAGAGAAATGCGTTGGCGGACGAGATGGACGACCGCTCCGGTCGCATCCCGATCTGTAGCGCCATGTGACGACGGCGGCCACGGCGGCGCCGGCTTCGCGGACTATAACTAGAGATGTGTATATTTTTGCCGCGACCTTAGCATTGTCCCTGGACCACTAAATAACCACGGGAACTCGCTCGCTTCCACATTGTTTCTATGAACTCTGCAACTCCCGCGCGCCTCTTTCCTCTCAGCATCGTTGCGTTGGTCATTAGTAATACTTTTAAGAGCTTTTGAAAATATATCAATGGAAAAAATAGCTTTCAATAAGGTGTGGTACAATATAAAGAGAGATTTTTTACGCAACAAAATATAAATAAAATAGAATAATTTTCATTCATTTTAGATAATTCCCTCCATTCCATTCATCAACTCATGCACGGCCTATATACGTCCACTGCTAAACACAGATCAAAAAATTCTACTTAATTAAGCAATATTTTTGTCAATTATTAAAAGATTTTCAAAAACAAAACCACGCTAAGGATGGAAAAATACGGGATAAGGTTTTTATTAGCTTGGATATTCCTCCACTATAAGGGTAAAAAATTTGTTATTAATTTTAATAAAAAGTGATAGCCGTCTTCAAATCTTGTGAAGTCGAGGCTTTAACACACTTTGTCATATTATTAGATACCGACTTTGGAACTTATATGGAAATTATTTTATAGGTCTTTTAGACAAAATTTTTTCATATTCATTTGAAAAGTATACAAACAAAAGTATATTAAATAACATAATATTTATAAAGCTAAAATATACTCGTAAATAAACAATGATTAATTGAATAGCCACGAGATATTCTTATTTCTTAGAAACACTTCTCCATAATATAGGCACTAAATTATCACCTTTGCAAATTCAAATGTATGTTAATGCCGTGATATGGAGGCAAACAAACAAATAAACAATATATTCAAAGCCAATTTGACTTCATGTTGTTTTTGTTAAGGTTCATTATCGCAATTGAAACCATGACAGTGCTGTTGGTGTTTATGTTAAGGTAGTATTAATAATACTTAGGTCATATATTAAGTAGATTAAGTCTTACCTTTAATTACATTTTAATTGTTACTTCATTAAATAAAAATGAAAATAAAATAGAGTATAAGCTCATAATACGTTTTAGGGTTTTGTACCTCAAAATGAAAAAACATAATACTTGTAGGATAATTTTTTGTCCGTGTGTTCGTCCTTTATCAAAACCCTTTATCCAGATTTGACGCAGCTGAATACAGCTGTAACAAGGCTCTCCACCATAATAAAGGACCACACTCTCACAGAATACCACCGTAAAATAGCAGTTTAATACTGCTATGTTTCGTATGGTGTGTGTAGAGAACCGTACACCCCTTTTTACTGTACACGTGGCATTCCATCTTATTTCTTACGAGTGACAACGCATCTGTATTTTAATTCTTAATTGAGGATAACAATAAAAAGATAGGGCGATTTATCTCACACATATTTTGAGAATTGCAAACTCACTGATTACAATTTACGACCTTCCCGTTGACCTACAATCATGAAATTTAGTTAGAAGCAAGGTCTCACAGCGCGAGAAAAATCCACGCATAGGTAGTTTATTTTAGGTGATGTCACGTAAAAAATGTTTTTTGTGACATATATTCGTAGTTAAACTTGAATTTTGTGACGTTTGCAGTTAGAGCATCGACCGTTGTACTTATAAAACGCAGAATTACAAAAGCATGAGCACAACTGTAGCTGTTAAATTTGTAATCAATAAATACAAATTTCAATAACCATTTATTTTATCCATCCATTAATACATAAGTCTTAAATATATATATTTCTTTTTTATGATCTTGTTATGATCTTGATTTCATCAAGTTTTTTTTTTATGAAACACAGGTGACAAATAAACCCACGGTGTACCTGATGGCTGATGGAATTGCCCCACAGCCTGTAATTATTCTGGGTCCTGATGCCCTTCATCTTGGAGCGCAGCAGCGCTGGCAGGAATTGCTAAGAACATGACTCAGCCGGACTTGTAGCCGAATAAGGAATGTAGGTGGTAGCCTGGTATATATCATATCATATATTATTGTATATTATCATATATTTATGATATCTTATTTATATTACTTTAGATTTAAGTAAGGTGTATGAATTTTACTGTCATTAATTATTAAAAAATTAAAAAGCAAAATTAAATTAATTTAGTTTCTATACGGTAGTGCAAG